ACTTGAATTATTTTTCTGAAAATTTTCTACTGCTTCTTAAAGAAGCTAAAGTCTTGTTCGATGCTGGAATTCTCCATAGCCACTGATTGTGTGCTGTTTACAATCAATCTACAATTTGCTTGGCTGCTTCCAATAAAATATTAATGCAATCAAACCTATAATGTTTTCGTTCACAGTCATCCTCTTCTCATGGGTCAGACTATAAAGCTCTATTATTAAAATAAGCCAAGTATTTGCTGTTTAAATGCATACAGGTAACTTTGGAAATCTCATCCTAAGGAGTTCAAGATACTCTTTTTCCTTTGGACTAGGACTTCATTTTCTAGCTAGATAATTTTCATCAAAGTATTTATTGTTAATATATAGTTGACATAGATTGTCTTAGGCAATATGGAAATTATTAAGGGGTATAGGATAAAGTTCTGACATTTATATATGACTACAAAGACAATAATACACATAAAAAGGTTGAGAACATAAGACAACATGTTCTTAAAACAATGCTACATGCTGTCATTTCGGAGGAAGGGGGTTTCTCATTGAGGGTAGTGTCAGAAGAGGATTAGATACAGGACATCAAGATGAGTGACAATTGAATGTAAACATCCCTCCTACCAAGTGGCTCTTATCCTGTTCTTTACTCAAAACTAGATAACCATTGTAAAAACAGCTTAAGACGGAAATCTCATTTATGTTGAAATAACTATGTATCAGATTAGAGAATTTGGTGTACTTGAGCTGAAGTCTTTAAGACTGGAAAGTAAACAGATGAAAAGGTAAAGAATATAAAGGAAAAAGAAAAAACAAAAACAAGAAACCTTGGAGAATGATTTTCCTGGAATAAACAATCAGGGGTAGGGTGAAATAAAACTGATGAACAGACTCTGGCACAGATACATTTACATTATTTTAATCAGAAAAGAGATTTTATCTCAAAAATAAATCCCACGAAGTTCTAGATGGTGATGGAAGAGCTTTGATTCTCAGACATATTTGATGTTATAGTAGTTCTAGGATTTCTTTATCCTGGATATGACTAGAGTGATCCTAAACTTCCTCGAGAAGTTTCATATTTAGTAGAAAGACATCCCAAAACTCACTTCATACTGGGTCCCACCATATGTAATCACTAAAGGGTGTTACAGGTTTCAACTTTCCATGCAGCTAATGGGTCACATCAGTTAAACAGTTTCTTGTTTCATTAAATAGTCTGATTGATTTTGATGCAACAACTAATGGCTTACCATGCATTCTATTGGCTTATGTCTCAAGCCAAATCACTATACATGCACTACCAGAACTGAATACAACAAGCTGTGTTCGTTGATTATTGAGCGAGGAGGAGCTGTGTCACTTAAAAAACAAATTTTATGGGTCTCCCTGAGAAGAAAAGTAAAGAGCTAGCTTTTGGTTTTTAAACAGAAGCACTATTGATGCTTTGTTATTTTTTGTTTTCGTTTTTGAGATGGAGTCTTGCTCTGTCACCCAGGCTGGAGTGCAGTGGCACAATCTGGGCTCACTGCAACCTCCATGTCCTGGATTCAAGCTATTCTCCTGCCTTAGCCTCTTGAGTAACTGGCATTACAGGTGCCAGTCACCATGCCCAGCTAATTTTTTAAAACTATTTTTAGTAGATGTGAGGTTTCACATGTTGCCAGGCTGGTCTGAAACTCCTGACCTCAAGTGATCCACACACCTTGGCCTTTCAAAGTGCTGGGATTACAGGTATGAGCCACTGCTCCCAGTCACTATTGACACTTGGGACTGAGTAATTCTTGGTTGTGTCTCTGTGTGGTGGTGAGTGGGAGTGTCATACATTGTAGGATGCTGAGCAGTGTCTCTGGCCATTACTCACTAGATACCTGTTACCCTGCTTGACAATCAAAACTCTCTCTAGATGTTTGCAAATTATTCCCCCGTGGGCTAAATCACCTGTGGTTGAAAATTACTGGGTGAGAGAATAGGAGAAAAAAGAAAAAACACCAATGTAGGCATTATGAGTTCAAGTCTTAAGTTGACTTATAAAGCAGATTGTATACCCTTTTTTACAAATGATCTTACATTATTCGTCTCAAAAAGGAGGATATAGTTCTCAAAGGGGTCCAGGATGAGATGAATAATACCATAGTGGGTATTTGGGTGTGCATGCTAGAAGCTTGAAGAACTTTTTTTTTTTTTAACGACCCACTTTCATGGGTCCCCATTGCCCCTTAAAATATAGAAGAAACCAGCAGTGAGTCATATGTTAATAATTTCTGTCTTTACCACTATATGCATTATTATCAGCTGATAATCTCTGGATTTTTATGAAGCTTCTGGCATTTACTCTGAGTGGAGCAGAAAAAAATCATTTTACTTTTGTTGAAGAATGAGTTTTTGTGCCATGTGACAAGAAAGGAGTTATGCAGCATCATTTCAGAGTCTGCAGACCAGACATCTGAAGATGTGAGATGAATAAGAATAACTGCAATTATGTAAGATCGGACTAGAAGACACTTCAGAGCCACGACAGGAGATCTCCCAAACTTGACAAGGGAAACAGGTCCCAGAGACCTCCAGTGTCTACTTTTAATAGTCAAGTTACCCTTCCCTTTGATTTGCATACGGATTATTCAGGCATCCCTGTGGTATTACTATATGTTTAGTAGAAAATGTTAGTAATAGCATATACTCTTTCTTGGCATACCAGCAGGAAAACTAGGGATAGTCTATAATCCAAAAGTCCTTAGGCCAAAGCACTCAGTCCTGCTTCTTGTGCTTTTTGGACTTATGCAGTGTTATTTATCACAAGCCAATATTAGAGTTACATTTGGATTGGTGGCTTTAATAACCTGGATTTCTCCCATTCATATGTAACCAAGTCCTTTTGGTAAGCTAAGGCAAAATGATATAAAAGTTAATATAATATGCAAAATCAACATTATGAATTTCTTCACTGTTTGAAATGATGTCATGATAAATCTCAATATTATAAAAGTATTTCTGGATATGTCTACTTTAAGTGAAGTCTTTTGATAAAAGGTAAAATGTCTTAGTTTAAAATATCATGTGAATATCTAATTTAATCTCTGCCTACTTGCCTATTCAGTACATTTGCATATCACCATAGGCACTGTGAAAATGATTAGAACAGTTTGATCCACAAATTATTCCCTTCTTGCTAATGTATCTATCATGCTCAACCTCCCTGCTAGTTTCCTAAATTGAGTCCCATCCTGGTCAGCCTACTCATAAGAAATATGATTGACAGCTGTCTTCTCTCAAACTTCTACTGCTGGCCTGTTTTCCTTCCCCCTTTCAAAAATGTGCTTCCTCAGTCTAAATTCCATTCAGTCTAGGGATTCCTTTCTTCCTCATTGACAAACTCCCCCTCCCTATCTATCTTCTTCTTTTCCTTTATTGACCCAGCATCTCACATTGAAGACATGTCCCGTTGGGACTCTGGTGGAAGGAATCCCATTCACTTCTTTAAAGCAATACAGGACTTTACGGTTACTCATCTACATTTCTGATTTTGATATCAATTCATTTACATCATGCTTTCCACATTCTTGCTTTAATCACTCCTACATTCAATGAATAAATCTCTCTGTAATAACAATTTGTATGGAAAGGAAAACAAAAACTTCTACCTGTTTTTTATTACAAATTTAATAACACAAATAATAAAGCTAATTTTTTTGGAGACTGCACAAATAGACATACATTGTAAAGAAAAGAGAAGAGTTTAAAGAACAGATATCAAAACCTCAAGAATGTAGACAAGAGGAGAGTGAGAGTAGTAGACGTATGTAGCATGTATGTCAAACAGGAAATATATTATTTTAAATATTTATTTTAATTTTATTTTTTTAATTTTTAATTTTGTGAGTACAGAGGAAGTGTGTATATACTTATAGAGTACATGAGATGTTTTGATAAACCTATGCAATGTGAAATAATAACATCATGGAGACTGAGTATCCATCACCTCAAGCATTTACTCTTTGTGTTACAAACAATTCAATGACATTCTTTTAGTTATTTTTCAATGTACAATTACGTTATTATTGACCATAGTCACCCTGTTGTGCTATCAAGTGGTATGTCTTATTCATTTTATCTAACTATGTTTTTGTACCCATTAACTATCCCCACCTCCCTGCCAGCTCCCCACTACCCTTCCCGGCCTCTGGTAACCATCCTTCTACTCCCTATGTTCATGAGTTCAATAGTTTTGGTTTTTAGATTCCACAAATAAGTGAGAACATGCAATGTTTGTCTTTCTATGCCTGGCTTATTTTACTTAACATAATGATCTCCAGTTTCTTCCATGCTGTTGTAAATGACAGAATCTCATTCTCTTTTTATGACTGAATAGTATACTTCCTTGTGAATATGTACCACATTTTCTTCACTCATTTGCTGATGGACATGTAGGTTGCTTCCAAATCTTAGCTATTGTGAACAGTGCTACAACAAATATGAAATATATGGTATTCAAGTGTTACATATTTTTTATTTAGTTATATTTGTATCTGTAAAGTTCAGATCCACATATTCCTGTCTGTAATTAAGAAAGAGAACTGTGAGTAGTCAGGGCAAAAGAAGAAACTGTATTAAGAACAGGAAGCCTTTTGCAGATGGCTAAGCGTATTTACCATGTAGAAAAAGGGTCCAACAAACTGTTCTAGTATGAAGGGTTAGCAACATGCAGCAAGAGCAGCATTTACAGAACAGATGCAGTTTCTCCTCCTCTGAGACATACAGCCTCTGGATGACCATGCTAGCAACAGTGCACTGCCAACCAGTCATACGGAGGAAAACAGTAAACTAAGAGATGACATTCCTTGAACAAGCTTTGATGGATTACATGAAAACTGAGGAAGTGCCAAGAAAAAAGTAGGAAGTGGGAAGTAAGGAAAAAAAAAAAAAAAAGACCTATTAAATTGTGTGCTAACAGTTGGAGACTTATGGCTGTCTATTATTTACTTCAAATCCCAGGTCAGGGTGTAAATCAAGCTGTTTAAGAGAAGACTTGAAGAAACTGGTAATGTACAGTTATAAAAATAGAAGACCTTAAGAGCCATCATCAAAGCTAAAGGACTGTCATAAAGATGAGAGGTGAGATCAATCAGTACCCATCTTTCAAATCATTCAAGGGACTTTCCTGCTCTGAGTTATGTAATTTGGAGGCCCTGAATATCTCAAATATACAAGGAACAAATGTGTTAAAGAATACTCAGACACACCGGTACAGCTCAACCCATAAACCACACATCTATTCTGACTGAGTCTTTCAGGCCTCTAGGAAGTTCCTTACCACATCTCTTGCCCTATATCTTCAAAACAAAGAACAACTGTTTTTGGAATTTTTGAGGGTTTGGATTGTGCTACTAACTTTTTTTAGGGCACTGTTTTGAACTATAAGGAGCTTTTCAGCTTTGGAAACACTTGGGTAAGGGACGAAAAAAAATTAACTTGTGAATCCTTCTTTCCAATGGCAAGGAGGCAATACATTCTTTAGTAATGAAGTATGTTTTGCCAGTCACATCATGCATTTGTTTCCTCCATGCTTCTCTTATTGTTCCAGTTTTGGATCTAAGAGGTAATAATCACAATAAAAAATTTGATTTATTTTATACAATATATAAGACGCAGTTTTTAAAAAGGTAAAACAAGAGGTGATCTTGAATTTATATTTTCCACATTATTGCGTATAAACTAATTTACCTTTAATAATATCAGTGAAAACTTAGCAAAAAAAGCTAACAGTTCTGAATTATTTCACTGTTAAAATGATTAAAATGTTTTTAAAATTTTAGAGAAATTTGTTTCCTAAATAGACACAGCATGGGAAAAAAGGAATACAAATATTATTTCAATAAAAATAAGATAATTAGAACAAGAAAATCAACACAATTTCTATGACTATGAAAGATAAGATTCATGAACATATAAGCTCAACACTTATTTCTATAGGGAATAACATTTTCTGGCAATTATAGATCAAAGTATATAAAGAAAAAACAAATTTGGCAACATATGCTATTTCCATTTTTTTAATACTCTACTGGCATTGAAACATTTGAAAGAAGAATGGAAACAATAATCTATGAAACTAGATATTGCTCTAAGTGATGGTGAAAACTGCAATCTGAGATAGCAATTTATAAAATGAAATTACAGTATTTTGTAATATTTTCCGTGATGATGACATTTTAGTACTTGCCACCTCATCACAAAATTTGAACAATATTATTTCAGTTCTGTGGTTTACATCTTTAACTACCAATTTAAGAAATTTATGGATAATTTTAATGGCTAGTGTCTCAGTGGGCTAAAATTTTCTATATTGAAACTATAAAAGTAAAATAACTAGAGCTATAATAGTAAGAGCTGTTGGAGGCTGAGAATGGTGAGAGGGATTATCTACAAAGAGGCATGAGGGAATTTTTAGATGATGAAAATATCTAACAACTTCATTGCTTTGGTGACTGCATGACTGTAAACATTTGTCAAATTCATCAACTGTACACTTAAGAAGGGTGAACATCACTATATGGAAATTATACCTCAATAAAGTTTTCTTATTTAAATAAATAACCCCATTAAATAAAACAACCTCATTAAAAAGTGGGCCAAAGAAATGGACATTTCTCAAAATAAAACAAAGTGCCAAGAAACATATGAAAAAATGTTCTATATTAGTAACCATAAGACAAATGCAAATAAAATTACAATGAGGTAATATCTCACATCAGTCAAAATTGCTACTACTAAAAAGTCAAAAAACAACAGATGCTGGGGAAGATAAAGAGAAAAGGAACACATATACAGTGTTGGTGGGAATGTAGATTAATTCAGCCACTGTGGAAAGTGGTTTGGAGATTTCTCTAACTAAAAACAGAACTACCATTTGACCCAGCAAACCCGTTATTGGATATATATCCAAAAGAAAACGAATCGTTTTACCAAAGACACATGTACTAACCACAGCACTATTCACAATAGCAAAGATATGGACTCAACCTAGGTGCTCATTAATAGTGGATTGGATAAGGAAAATGTGGTATAAACACCATGGAATACCATGCAGTCATTAAAAAAATTTAAATCATGATCTTTCAGTCACATGGATGCATCTGGAAGCTATTATCCTAAGCTAATAATGCAAAAACAGAAAAACCAAATACCACACATTCTCACTTATAAATGGGAGCTAAACATTGGGTACTCATGGACATAAGGATGGTAACAGTAGTCACTGGGGACTACTAAAGGTGGGGGAGAAGGAGGGGCCAAGGGTTGAAAAGCTACCTTTTGGGTATTATGCTCACTATCTGGATGACAGGATCACCCATACGCCAAACCTCAGCATCACACAATATACTCAGGTAATAAACCTGCACATGTACTCCCTGAATCTAAAATAAAAGTTAAAAAAAAAGCACCCCCCCCCACCAAATACCAAACAATTATCAGTTAGTCTATAGCTTAGCGATTCTAATATGCTGAGAGGAAGACATACATCCACAAAAATGGAGGACTAGCAAAGAAAATAAAAATGAGAAAAAGAACAACACCAAATTAATATTCACTAAGACTATGTCTCAAGAGTTATGTGCCACATATTATTATCTATGTACCTTGAGAATCTGTTACTGGTACTTGAGTATAAGCTTTAGTGTAATGTGGTAATTACCTTGGCTTCCAATTTTTTTTATTAAGAAGTTAGAAGAATTAAAAAGAAAGAAAATATTCTCTCTACCAAGTACACTTGGTGAAAAAAAAAAACTAACAAAATTACAGGCTATAGCACCATACCCTCAAAATCCCCCAGAACAGACGTGAAAAGCAAAATCAGAACAACATTACCTTGGTATAGATTCTGAGTAGTACGGTGTGCCAATGTTGTGGGGATAAAGAGGTAATAGTTTAGATGTATACAGAAGTTTAATGTTAATTTTTTCATAAATGTTCTATGTCATGAATATTCATGTTGAAATAACTTTGGAAAGTAAATACAGAGAATAAAATCAGTCAGAGTATTATTTATTCTACCTCACATAATTCAATGGTACATAGTAGGGATTATAAATGCATATACTTCACTTTTTCTGTTAGTGTAAATAATTCAATCACCTTTCCTCATAGTGAGTACTTTGTATACTTCCTGGGTTTTGGCTCCAGAGCAGATAAACTTTAGCAGAAAACTATGCTCCTCTGAAAAATTAAATTTGTTTAATGAATGCTACTTTCTATCAGCTTTTTCATTTTGAGTTTATATGTTATCTGAAATATCTCCAAGGATATCGTTATTGTACCTTTCAATTTGCTACTAGCAGTTGTCATTGTATGACTATTATTATGATTGAATTAAGGTGATAACTACTCTTTTTGTTAAAAAACTGATCTTAATTAATTGGTGTTATTTATTTCTTCTTTTCCTTCTCTGTAATATTGAATATTTATCCCTTAAAAATCTGTTTGTCTCCTCTAAATAGACACACATACACACTCTTCTGCTACATCTGCCAGAGTGATAGAGAGGAAATAACAAATTCATCAAGATAATGGGAGAAAGTCTAGAATCTCTACAAGGCAGTATTTTTTCTAAGTATTAAAAATAACAAAAGTCTGAAAGGTTTATATCCACAGAAATTTATTTTTATTCTATATGTGAAAAAACCAGCATTGTATCTTGAAGCTGGTTGAATGTTTTCTTTGAATTTTGTGAAATATCTGCCTGAGTGGAAGCAGAGAGGTGAAGATTAATAAGTTGAGATAGCATCTGAAAAAGAATGGCTGGAATAATCAATAAGAAAATAAAGTACAGGTACCCAGGAAGGGCACTAACTAGACTGAGTTGAATTTCTTTTTTATATCTGATAGAGTGGAGCAATACAAAAATCACTCTCACAGTTAGTATTACTCCTGTCACTACCACTACTGTGGTTAATGTAAGCAGTATAACATGAAATTATAGCACTAAGGATGATTCTACTTATCATAATTACCATAATTAAATACTGAAGCAATTATGTATTTGTGGTACATCACATAATTTATTATTAATCCACATGACAACTCTATTAGACAATTTTCTTATCTGCTTTTAAATCTTGAGAAACCCGAGGTGACTTAAGATTCCTAGCCTCTCATCACTTGTAAGATGAAAAGTGTTTATTTGCCTCTTTGTAGTTGAAAATGTAATGAATCAATTGGGGAAGGCAGAGAAAGTTTATGTTCCTCAATGCTTTCAATATAAATCTGAGACCCAAAGAGCAGCTGATAGAAATTAGGAAGGACAAGAGTAATTAAGCACCTAAAATATATTTACAAATTTAATATCCACAGTAACCCTTTGAGGTAGGTACTGTTATTATCCTCATTTTAAAAATGAGAGAGGTGAGGCAGTAAATTAATAAACCTGTAAATTGAGCGAGAATAGGGAGATTTAAAAACACATTAGATGAACAATTTAAATCTTCCAGACACAGATATTTAACCCAGCAATCTGGCTTCTTGAAATTACAAGTGAAAGATCGGGTACATGTACAATTCTGAAAAGTATCCGTATCAGATTTTTCTCAGAATTGCAAAAATGACTTGTGGAAAGGCACTTCTAATTTCCAGGCTAAGACCTTTGACTTAAGCTAGCTCAATGTGGAGGTGCTATGTGCTACCCTGTGAACAGCACTGTGAAATTCTCTGACCTTGATTATAATGGTGAATGGTAAACACAAAGTCACACATGATCAAAGAGATGTTACTTTGCCTAAGATGAAGCTTTTTTCTTTCTGGTTATTTTTCTCAGAACCTATTTCTCAGGGTGTGATATTTGTGATATCTACAGGGATGAGGAAATTCAAAATATTATTTTATATCATTTTCTGCTGTTTAGAGGAAGATGCCAGAGCAACAGTCTGTTATCAAAATTAAAATGACTGGTCTATTATGCTGGGCCCACAGGTGTTCATATGCTGTAGAACTATATTAAAACATCATATGACATTTTCGTATCCTCAAATATCTCTCTTCAGTTTACCAGTTTCACCATTTTGCAATCTTAACAAGAAAAAAAATGGTAGTTTTATCCTAGAAAATAATAACAGAGAGAA